CTAAGTGGAAAGTCAGATGAGTCAAGAATAAAATTTGAAGAGAATCTGTATCTGGGTGGCTATATTTACATTGAATAATTTTATTCAGGTTCTGTTATAGTTTTTGGTAGCCTGGAAATTTTGAACTAACATTAGGTTTAAGGATCTAAAACCAAATTTGTTGATTCTCCACAAATGATAAAATAGCCTCTTTTAACAAAAACTTAAATGAATGAAATTTCCCTATATATACTATTTTTTCATAACCTTAACACTTTTTCCAGTATTGAAATTTATTTACTGAGATTTTAAAGAATAAGCATCACAAGAAATTAACTATGGTCAATAACATGGACAGTGGAATGAATTGAATAAAGTATTCGATTAAAAATTTCCAGAAGGTTACCAAATATAACAGGTACATGAAGAATGTAATTTTAACAACCAAGATGAGGAGACAAGTTTGTATTAATCAGATTATAATAATTTTTTTTTTTTTTTTTAAGATTGAATTCACTAAGACAAGGATTTAATGGATGTAGGAGAATTAGAAAACAGAAACATTAGCAAGGAATGAGAGCAATTGAAGAATGATCTGGAAGACAGCAATTGACATTCCATTTTAATTTTTGTAAAGTATGGAGCTGGAAGAGTTCCAGAGGTGCAAGAAAAGAAACTGTTAGCATAGAATTTATGGTTACATCTAGCCAGCTCAACTGTAAATGGGTAAGACCTTTTGAGTCTTATTACTAAAATTTAAATTCATAATATAGTTAGTCATAGTGAAGAGCTCATCCAGATATTACCATGATTTTATATTTATAAACATCATCTTAAGGGGAAGCAACTTTACAGTTATGATAAATTGATTTGACTTTGCAAGATGAAAAGGTCAAGACCAACTTAATATAGTTGATTTTTTCTTTAGACTTTATCAAGGATCTCTTTGCAAATATTTAAAGGAGTCCTGGGACCATGGACAAATAGTAGAATTTTAATATTCAGATAAAATCTAAGAAAAAATTGTCTTCCATGAACCATGCATGATGGATAGAAGAAACTTTTATTTCTCAGATGAATTATAGAGAGCAGTTTGGTTAAAAAAAATGTTAAATTAAATCTTTTTCAAGATTTTTATTATCAACAGATGAGTCATTTTTTTGCCATTAACAACCAATTTTACCTTATCAAATTGATAATTTTTACTATCAAGACAGGAGTTAATGGTTCTGTCACCAGCTTAGATAAAAAATATTTCTGATTTTTACATCTATTTGTTAATAAAAATCCCAAAAATAAAATTAGGACTCAAGGATAATTCTTTAGGACACTGGTATTTATTGTACAAAAGGATCTAGAAAAGTAGCCATTCATAATTTAATTTTAATTTTTTTTTTTTGATAAAGACTGGATCAGCTCAAAAGATTTGTCTGGGATAATAACTTTTCAACTTGTGAAGATTCTTTTTGTATGATCAAACCTTCTGAACACTTTCAAGATTTTCTTTGAATTAAAATCTTTTGATTTTCCACAATGATCATCAATACATCAGCACCAATTTAGAGAAATAGTCTTCCATTTATTCCTTGTCTGAAAGAAGGCCTTGTGATGTAAAATTCTTTTACAATTTAGCATTGATTAGGGCCTTTTGAATTAAATAAAAAAAAGAAATAGATTAATATATAATAGGCAATTGGAAGGTTCGGACAGTTAAAACCTGAGTTCAACAAAAAATTTGCTGAAAAATAAGATTTCAACAAGATAGACAATTAAAGAATTTTAATTTATTTATTATACATTTTTAGAGAATTTCTTCCAGAAAAGAGCACATTTCTTATAATTACAGAGATGATTATCAGGTTCACATACTTTTTGGGGGGATCCAGATTAGAGATGATAAGAAAACCTAGAAAGGGTTATATGCATATTTAAAAAAGAAACAGTTTTAAGTATTGAAAATTATTCAAGGATTCTAAATGAGTCAATATGTAGAGTTTGAAGAGTATTTACAGTTATAAAACATTCAGTTTTTTATAGCAGATTCTTTTTTCTCAAATAGATTGAAGATAGAGGGATATAAGAAATTTACTCCTTATTTACCACCCTGTTACATAGCTGCTAGTAATCACAAGAGCTAAAGTTATTAAATGCAATTATTGCCTTTAAGCATTCTTAAATTAAACAAAAATTTAGCTTTTTTCAAGGATACATTTTTTGTATGTTCATACACAAGTAGGTATCATTTTTTTTAGTGTTATTTTTGTGAGCTATAGTTACAGAAAATACAAATTTTTTGAACCCAAAGATAAATTTTCATCTGGTATTTCTGAGACTTCAAGAGAAAACAACTATGCCAGCTTTGACCCAAGAAAAAACCTCTGATATTGCAATTCTTAGTATTTCTGTTAAAAATATAGTGCAAGTAGGGTGTCATGTATGCAAAAGTTTCAGTTAATGAAACACCAATTGATCATGTTGGCAATGGAAATTATTCTTATGAATAGAAATATTGCCCAAATAGATGATTGGAATGAAAAATCAATAGATTGTTTACAGAATGACATGAGTTGCCAAAGAGGACAGTTCATTAGTTATCTTAAAAGCTAGAAAGGAAGTAAAAATAATAAATTTTTTAAATATTTATATATTTTTATAGATTTATTAGGGAAACTCAAGTAGGAAAATTTTTTAATTGAGATGACTACTGAGCAATATATTTTTTTAAAGTTTGAATACCAGCAACATCAGTAATGTTAGAATGTTTAAGCCACTTTTAGTATGTATTGTGTTTGAAGTAAACTTCTATATGCAATGTAATTTGATATTATCAATTTTTACAGTTTTGAATAAATGAAACATAAATGAATTATTTTTGCTTAATTGTTAAATTTAAATGAATAGCTTTAAGTAGCATTTTTAAATTCTTGTACATTTAACATTTTGGAAAACATATATTTTATAAAATCCTTTTAATGATTTTTTTTGTGCTTAAAAAATAATTAATATTAAAAAAATTTGGAAAAATTAAAAGTTGACAGATTAATTATTTTTAAGGATTAAGTAGTAGGTTTTTTTTGCAATTAAGATTTTGAGTAAATAACCTTCCTGAAATTGTTTATTCTGTATTTCTTTCTCTATAATTTAAAATTGGGTTTCATTTTGTAGTTTAAAGAAACTTTTTATTTCTCCCAATTGTTATTGAACATATTTATTTTTGCATCAAATAATAAAAAAAAAATCATTAATCAATCTTTGATATTTTCAAAGACAAATTGCATTCAAGTTTCTCTTAATGTGTGGTGTTTGCCATTGCAAATCTTACATTCAAAAAACTTTTATTTGAATATCTGCAATTTATCAAAAAAAAAGACATGTCAATGTTTTTTGTAAAATAATTAAAAATCAAGATAAAAATGAATTATCAGATGGTTTGAATATTGTTGAAAAAGGGTTCTAGATTTTCTATATATTCAGTTTGCAACTTCAAAGAAACCAAGATTTTATATATCAGCTCTGAGCATCTGAACATTTTAATAAATTTTCAAAAATTTTTTTCAGTAGATGGAAAAAATAAATAAATTTTTTGTTTTAATAAATAGTAAAAGAAGTTTTACTAACTATAAACTATCTATTAAAAAATGTTTAAACTTTGTATTAAAAATGTTTTATGTAATCCAAGAGGCATATACAGTGTGCATTGGGTAAATTGTTGCCATTTTATATTTTTTATTTTGTGCATGCACATTGTTTTTGATTTTGTTGACTGCACAGTATAGTAGGGTCAGTTGGGCACCCTCTGTGAAAAAAAGAGCACCATGGCTCAATTCACTCTGCCAGAAATTTGGAAGTGGCATGCTGTACTGCTTGGCATTCACACCAAAAGCACCAATACAAACATTTCAGAGTGTCTGGGTGTCAATCTGAGGACCCGACAGAAGATTCAGAAAGAGTTGGATGAGTCTAAATGTGATTACAAAGGTACGGCAGCTTGGAAAATTCACTCTGATCATTCTGATAAGAAAAGAACTCCCAAATTTGTTGCCTCAGGCTCAACATGGAAGGTAAGTGCTGCCCTGGGTCAAGAGGGTGGCTGCTGGAAGACCCTATGTCTGGCAACAGGATTCTGCACCATGCCACACAAGCAGGACAGCCCAGTCAGCTCATTCAATTTTTATAACCACATTACCCTTTATATATGGGCCATCTAACTTCCCAAATTGCAACTCCCTTGATTATTAGACCAACAAAACTCCTTATTATACCAAAGATGAACCAAGAATTATGGCAGCATTCACCAACTTAAACAAAGAGACCATCCAGAAAAGTTGCAAGAGATTCCAAAGTCCTCTGGAGGCCGTAGTTGGAATCGATGGGGATTTGAATAAATTTATTCTTTAATATTTCAAGATGTTTTTGTGTAATTTTGGTAAATATATCTGTTAATATGAAATGATAGTATTATTTTCATTTTTGCATAATTTAAGCGACAATTTATACATCGCACCCTGTACATAGGTATATTGATAAGTTTGTGATTAATTAAAAGAAAAAAAGCATATTTAATTTTCTGCATAATCTTCCTTGTTAATTTACGTAATTCAATGATCAATATTAATTATATACACTGAACACTTATTCAAAGTTGTTAATAACTGTCAGTCTACATACTTATTGACCCAGCTTTGTATCTCTGTCATGATTTCAGAGCAATACTTGTATTTGTGGAGAGAAGTCACAAGCATTGCACAGTAGAGGAGATAGATGAATCCTGACCTCTCATTTGGTTTCTTTGAGCTACAATTCTTATGATTTAACAATTCATTTTAAATCTTGGGTTCCAATTTTTAAGATGTGGCATTCATCAATTTCTTTACAAGTAAATTATATAAAGGAACTAAACTTAAAATCCTCAGTAATCCCCTCCCCACATACATACACAAAAACAAAGGCAGATTAAAAAATATATTCCATTGACTATGTCTTCACTGTTATTTACTTCTCTACCTGTCTTTTCTTTATAGAACTTGGTTCTGACTCCGGTAGTGACACAGATCATGTTACTGGCATGTTTCTTGGGCTGAAAAGTGACAGTGCAGACAGTGCAGAAAATTATGATTCTGACAAGGATCCTGCTTGGACACCATTTGCCTTGGTAAGTTACTTTGCTTTTTATTAAAATATTATAAGCAATTGCTTAGTTATTCTTTGATTAGATAGGGTTATAAGATATTTTCCTTCATGTTAATTTTCTGTCTATCACAATAAAAACTCTTTTTTCTAATCTTTGGAAGAGAGTAAAAGAAAAAAAAATCTAGTATGTTTGCTAGTTGGTAGCTTTTGAAGCTTTCAATATGACAATTAGATTTAGATAATAGAATGATTAGTATAATAAACAATTTGATTCAAGCCTGAGTATAACCATGACTTAACCAATAAAATCGAGTATTACAAGCTTTTGAAAGTCATTCCTAGGGTTCTAAGTGGTTGACTAATAAGCTGAGTCTAGGTAAACAGCTTCTAAAAACCGAAGTAACCTGCTAGAACCTTGCTTCTATGCAGAACTATATTTTAAAAGATGAAACCTAACTATTCAGTTAGAGGATCACACTCAAACTCTATAAAATACCTTTTCAAAAGAGCATTTATTAGTGGGGAAAAAAGAATATACAAAAGCTTCATTTGATAAGTTCTTTATCTTTGGCGGCTTCACAGGTTACACAATTAAAACAGATTCTAGAGTCAGATACTCTCACAAGATTATCTTTTCACATATGTAAATTTTGGCTGTAAATGAAGAGATAAAAATGGAGAACGGGGTGACAGGCAGAACGGTTTACTGCTGTGTTGAACAAGCTTCATCTGTTGTGATCAGTAGAGTGTTTGAGAGGAAACTGATTGTGGGCTTTGTTTGCAAGGAAAGAAACAAGTTTACAACCTTTTTGCTACAAGCTACTTCAGCAGTTCTAAATTTTTCTACAAGTTAGTGGAGAAGGCATTTGATATCCATTTGATCCCTGAATTTAGTGACCTTACCACCAATATACCAATCATGGAGTGACTTGAGAATGTTGAGTTGGTGTGTGAACTGTGTGACATGAAGAGGATACCCTGCTGCTACGATTGAGAGCTGGAGCTCTTGCCATATATCGACAACTAAGCGGATGTCAAATGCAGAGCAGATAAAGCAAGTCCTCATGACTGTGTATGCAACGGACTCCTTCAATGTATTTAATCAGTGCATGGCAAGGTATGAGTAGATGCCAGTTTCTTTGGCCACATGAGTGTCATTAGGAGTTAACAAAGGCATTGTTGAAGATGCTTGTTGGTTGCGTCCAGAAGAAGATGCTAAGCATATTAATTTAACAGAACTCGATGCAATGATAAAAGATCCTCCAATGGCAGGTGATAATTTTGCACCTGATTACCAGCTTTCTATGCATTCATTGCTGGATATCAGATACTCTGAGTAGAAAAGCTCATGTAAAAATGAGGGCAGCCAGTGAGATGATAAGATGGCAGTTGGAAACACTTCATGCAAAGAAGCTCAAGGTTGCATGCATTTTTTGCTTCGCTAGGAGAAAATGGCTTACCTCCAGCACGAACATAGATTCAAATACCCCTCACATGTAAACTGTCCGAAGTGGAAAGAAATGGTGCTTCGCAGTTTACACATTTAAAACAGATAGATCCTGGAGTCAGATACTCTCTCACAAGATTATCTTTTCACATATGTAAATTTTGGCTGTAAATGAAGAGATGAAAATAGAGAAAGGGGCAACAGGCAGAACATTTTACTGCTGTGTTGAGCAGGCTTCACCTGTTGTGGTCAGTAGAGTGAGAGGAAACTGATTGTGGGCATTGTTTGTAAGCAAAGAAACAAAATGTTTACAACCTTTTTGCTACAGAAACACTTCCTTTTTTTTTATCTGGCAAATAGGCTAAAAATGAAAATCATCAGATTTTACATTTTGTCATCCTTTGTTAAATTGCTTTGAATAATTTCTAACAGCCAGGTGATTTCTGATTTCAGGAAAGAGATGGCCACTGGATTGTGATTGATCAGAATATCCCTGTATAAGTCAAAAGATAACTAACTTGTAGCAATAAATGCTTTATTTTTCTATGGTTATAAATACACAACCTGTGGTGCCTAAAGTTCAGTATTATTTCAACCAAATCACTAAAAGCTTATATTCTCACTTGTCTAGAATAGTTTCTAATTGCTATAAAAATTAATTCTGTATAAATTGAAAGGAAAAGAAGTGGTTATTTTATATTTTAAAATTTGATTGCCAATTCCTTCAAATGAGAAGTGCCATTTTCACATTGAGCCTTCCTCAGTCATACTCTGTATTTGACAAAATGAATATGCCTTTGTTGTTTCACAGTGACAAATAAGTAAAAATAGGAATGTTCTGATTTAATATACATTAGGTTTTACAAGATAGCAGATAAATTACAATTGCTATCTTCTGATAGATTTAATATGCTGTATGTGTTATAAAATGACAGTAGAAATGGGAATTTTCTGATAGATTTTAATCATATCAAGCTTTATTAACTTAAGAAGTGAACTACTTCTTTAGGTTAAGAATCCTTGTAAAAAATATTGATGTAGTTATATTTAAAATTTTAAATAACCTGAGTTTTTTTTGTTTTGTTTTGTTCTAAAATTATTCACCTTTTTAATCTTCAGTTAGATCATAAATGAAAAATTTGTGTGATTATTGCTTTGTTTATAAATCTTGAGTAAAAATGTTGTTGTTTTTTTTGTTTTGTTTTTTGTGACTCAGGAAAAAAGGCAAGCTGCATTTAATGAAAGTGAATTTCCAGATATAAAACGCAGAGTCCGCAGCCGAGGTCGAGGTAGAGGAAGGATTGGTAATAGAACCATCAGCCGGTGAGGATTAAAATAATCATCTATCATACAAAAATTCACTAATTTTAAATTTCATCACAATATTAAAACAGAAACAAAAAAAAAATCTCTTGAAACAAAATATATCAGTGTCAACAAAATGTTGTATTTTTTTGTAAATACCTGTCACCAACATTTGTATGTCTTTAGTTCATTGTTAAATTTTTAATGTTATTTTGTAACAAGAAGGAAAAAAACTGAAGTAATGCTGGTTCTGTAAGGGGAAATGTTTCTCTTATTTGCTCACTAAGTCAGTAATTGTCTGTAACTAATTTATTGGCAGTTATGATTGAATTCAGTATCCTGCAATCAATTGTATTTGCCATTTCCTAAACAGATTACAAACTGAGTAAAATTTTCAAAATTTTAGAATATTAAATTATAAAACCAATATTAGCTCACTAAATAAAACTAGTGATATAGTCTTTTGAAGATTTTTCTAATATTCATGGCAAATTATAAAAATCTTTTTCTGATTATTTTTCCTGGCTAATAGGATTTATCACAGAACTCTAGAGAAATTACTCTAATTGCATAATTTAGTTCATAACATACATTCTTTGAATGCTCTGAGATATGTCGTCAGTGATGTTTTCCTGGCTTCATTAAAAGTTTTGAGTTTTTCAACACCAGACTCTTTCCTGCTTGTGTTATTCAAGCTTCAGTGGTCATGTGCTATACATTCTCTGGACATGCTTGTTTTAGTGGGGTTTTTCATTTTTATAGTGTGTGTGTTGTTTTTTTTTTTTTTTTTTTTTTTTTTTTTTTAGCATTTTGACTATTCTGCTATCAGCCAGTGAAATTCTTCTATGCAAGTATATTACTCTTTGGGATTATTTCTTTGGTTTTTTGAAAAGTTATTGGGAATTATTTGCCTTTTTTTAGTCTGGTAAGTTATTATTTGCCATCTTCTTTTCTTAATTCTATACCATATCTATTACTTTATATTTCATAATAAAATAGTTCCTGTTTGTAATGTAAGTATGCCCACTGAATTTTCGATACCTAAGGTTTAAAATGAATTTTTTAAAAATGCAAAAGCATACTTGAAGATTTTATTTTAGCTTTAATTGAAAGCTAAATGATTAAATTTACTATTTCCAGTAAGTAAGATATTCTGGTGTATTTCAAATAGAAATTATATAGATCGGAATCTCAACTTTTTGACTGATTTCAGAAAATTTTCTTAAAAGTGGCCATTTTCATAATTTAAAAAAATTTGTAAACAAAACAAAATTATTGGTTTTAAAAATCTTCCAAAAGTAAAATATATATTTGTGACACATTATTTGGGTAAAATTAGCAAATTTTATGTTAACTTAATCTAATTTGAAATAAATATTACTTACTTATAACATAAATAAGTTATATACAAGCATTTCTTAACAACACATCCTGTTTTTGTTTTGATCTTTATTGATGTATCGATAAGTTCCAAGGTGATGACAGCTAATATGGATGACTAGAATTGACGTAAATTTACAAAATCTAAGTGAATGCTTTTTTTTTTTTTTTCCTTTTTTATTTTTAAACTATCTAGTAATTTTTACAAATTAACATATTTTCAGTGATTATTTATTATTGACTTTTTTGACTTTTAGTTATGTTTCAACAAGGTTCTTAAGTTTATAAACTTAAGCAAAAAATTACTTACTTGAAGTATGACCCAAAATAAAATAAATACATAAAATAGAAATATTTAGTGAAACAGTAATTAAAAAAAATTAAAACTTATTTCGAAATTTTGAAGGGAAGATTTCCAAAGACGTTAATGATGAAACAGAACTGAATAATGAAATTGAAAGAATTGCAGAGTGCCAGATGATTCTTAAATTATGTGACCTTTTAAAGGGTAATATCATTTATGGCTTACCATAGTTAGAAATTGGGAACGTCTATACACTGGATTTTTTTTTTTTTTTTTTTTTTTTTAAATATTTGGATACAAACAACTATTATGAGCTTTTCAATTTTTGATACATAAATGTACTTTTCATTTAACAATATCACCAAACTACTGCCTTGAAGTGATGCAGAATTTTAATCGAATTTTGATATAAATTATTTAATTAAAATTTCTTTAGAAATGAAAACAATTCTTGTAAAAATTAATTAATCCTCAAAAAAATTTTTAAGACAATAGTGTCCTTAATAAAACTTATTTATTAAAAGCTTTTCTAATTAAATAATTAGATAGTTTTGTTTAATTTTTTATTTTACAATTCAGAGCAGATTTTCAGTGAAAGAGGTAACTTGTTTTACAAAAAAAATTGATGGTATACTTTCTACAAGGAGTCCTGCTTTTAACTAATAAAATAAATCCCCATCCCCTGAATATTGAATTTCTTAAAATTTCATGAAATTAAGTAAATGGGTGGTTTGTGTAAATATATATATATATATATATATATATATATATATATATATATATATATATATATATAAAAAATTACCAAAATTTTCTTAAAAAAATTAAAAATAATTTCATTCATTTCTGAATATTTCATTAAAATCCAACAATTATTTGATTTTTGCAAGAATTTCCAATTCAATGTGTTTTTCACAAGAAAAAAAAACTAATAGTCATCATTATGTCAACTGCTGATGTAAACAAAAAAATTTTAACCAAAATTTTGAATGTGCTAGAAAGGAGTAAAAAATAATTTCAAAAAAATAATAAAAAATACTTTCCTCTTAATAATAACAAACATTTTGATGACAAAATTGAGTTTGGGGCCTTTTTTCATTATGTTATGCTGTTTTTCTGTGAAAAAATGGAGGTACCTATTGTAATATTTAAAAAAAAAAAAAAGTATTAGACTTAATTTTACAAAAATCTTTTTCAAAGAGTAGAATATTTTATTTTTCCAAAGACCAAGTGAAAAATTATTTAAAAAAAAAAAAACTTATAAAAATAATCTCATTATTTCTTAAATGAGAAATTAATTTATTCTGTTGATTCACTTGTTAATTATTTAATGTCTTTTAAGAGGAAAAAAGGAAATCCCAATTCTAGTTTATTTGTTTAGCTTGTATGTCTATATTTATTTTTACCTTTTTCTTTTCTTTAATTACTTGTTAAAATGTCTAGATGTAACCATAAGTTCCATGCTAACAGTTTCTCTATATTGCACTCCTTACTTATGGAACTTTCTTCTGGCTCCTTGTTTCCCAGTCAATGTAGATCTTCAAAAATTTATATGCAATGTCAATTGTTATCTTATGTCATCTTAATTATTGTTCTCTCTCTCTCCTTAATAGTGTTGTTTTTTTTCTTTTCTTTTTATCCTCATATTCTCAAACACTCAATAACCCTTTGTGTCTTAGCTGCTTTATTGCATTGTTGGGGGTGAAATTATTTTTTTAAAAAAAATATTCTTGGCAAACTTTTTGTTAAGTTCTTAATGAAATGAAACTGTTTATTTACAATTAATATTGAGATGACATTTGTTTTCCTTTCAGTTTTCCTCATTCTGCAACTTCCCTCTTAATTCTCCTACTCTGCTTTATTCCATGTTTAAGATCTTTTGAGTCAGATTAATCAAGATGATTTTATATCTGCTTCAATTATTTCTTTCATAGCTTTTTTTTCTTTCTTTTTTTTATCCTTTGATTCCAATTTTTGTTAAGGCCTTGCACAAACATTGTCCTTCGAATCCTCTGCATCCTATCTTGATTTATTCTTGTAAGTTTTCCATCCATTTTTGTTGACACTGTTCAGTTAGTTGTTGGTACTTATCACATTTCCTTTTGTTAATAAGTATCAAACTCTTCCCCAAAACATGCCAAACTTCTACATTATCCAGTTAATGGTGTTGGAGAAGAGTATCAAATCTGGGAAAACTGCTGTTTCTGCAAATTGTTTAGGGAATTTTAATTCCTTTTTTTCTTTTTTTAAATCTGCCAGTTTGAAGTATATCTTCTCATTTGAATGGCTGTGGTAGCTGAATCAACTCTCACTTTTAGTACTTGGTCATGTCTCCACTGATAACGTCTTGTTGCCAAAAACTTGCTACATGTTGAAACATGATTCTTTCTTAGTGCAAAGTGGTCATTTTTGGATCTCACTCTTACCACATCTAAATAAGCTTGCTGGGCTTGGTAGGGTGTTGTATACAGATTGGACAAGGAAATGGAATTGGTTGAAATCAGCTTGCAACAAATCTGACCACTTGGTCTTTTACCCTCTTCCCACATCATCCATGTTCCTTGCTTGCTTAGTCCTACCATTTTACAATGATGTTATTCCTCCATTACTGTTCAGACTTCTTCCTGTATGTGCTGGCATCTTTCCATGCCTTCAGCCTTAATTGGAGGGTAGGAAACCAGCCTAGACCTGCTTTCTTTGCTATCATCCCCATGTTTGCCTTAGTCATTCTTCCACTACCTGTAGTTCTCTGGGAGTACTCCATTTTTTTTCAATTTGAGTTTGTATTCAGGTTGCTTTTACTTTAATGTCCATTGAGTCTCTCTATAGTTGAATTTCTCTTGTCAGAGTTACAACAAATTCTTTTTTCAGGATGCTGAAAGGAAGTTGAAATACATTGGTTGTTCCATATAATGCTTCATTGCTCAACCACCATCTTAAGTTTTTGTTAATTGTTCTCTCCATTTTTTTCCACAGTTGTTATGGCCACAAAATTCATGTTACAGTTAGTTAACATATCCATGCTTTGACCTGGTAATCCTAATTAGTCAGGCTTTGTTTTGTTTGTTTGTTTTTTTTTTGGGGGGGGGGGGGTTCCTCTCCCAGTCATACTTTCAGTTCATTGATTGTTTTATGATAATGGTCATCTTTCATGCTGTTGTTGAAAATTTTATCTAAACTTTTGATAGGTTTCTCTTTTAATTTTGGGATTGTTATTCCTGAAATTGTAAACCAAAATTTTTCAATGATGTGACCATTTTTTTGTAACTAAGGACCATGATTTCTCTGGTTTAAATTCTAGTCAGTCATAACTTTTCTGAGTCTTCTTAACCGTCCCTCACCAGTGACTGATGTTGTCATTGTTAAGTCATCCATATAGGCCCTTAGTGGTTGACAGGTGCCTGACACTGACAAGGGACTCTGGCATTTTATTTTACTGCTTTTTACCACCAAGAAGATGGTAGAAATCCAACAATCAGTTATTATTCCTCTCTCCAGCCTGTATAACAATCTGAAATGGTGGATCTTGTTGTCACTCTCATATGGAAGTTGTAATAATCTGTAATGAGATTTCATATCACTTTGGGAACATGGTGTCTTTCTAAAGATTCTTTTGCAAGCATATGTGGAATTGATTCAAATGCATTGGTGAGATCTATTCATAGGGCCACTAGGTCAGCTGCATTCACCCACATGTGTGTTCTAGGCACTCTGGCATACTTGTGATCCCTCCTTTTTAGACTGATGTGTTGATGTATTCATTACTTGGGAGAAATTTGGATATGCACCAGTTTATAATTCCAAAGATCTTGCCTTCTGTATTCAGTAATGATATGATTTTAAACCAGTTTATATTCTTCAATTCTTCCTTCAGCTTTTCTTCATTGGTCAGCGAATTTGTCACTAATTCTAGATACTGGGAATGGATTGTACAGTGTTTAAAAAGAATAAATCTACACCCATCTCTTGAAACTTTCTGTTTATCTGTGATTTGAAATTAACCACCCTGTCTGGTACTGACTTAACCTCTGAAATGTACTGCGCTACAACTGTGTTATTTGAAATGTAAATGAATTAAATTCCTAAATTTATTTTAAACATTTAATAAATTTTGGTTTTTATGACTTCACACAAAAAATAAAATTTGGAAGCCATGCATTTTATTTGAAAAGACTATCTGGAAAATTACACACACACAAACAAAATCATACAAATATTTCTTGAACACTCCTATGCACAAAAACAATATAAAGTATTTCTAACACGGTACATTCTGAAATCTAATTCTTAGAGCTAAGCAGAATGAAATATAAAACAATATGAGATTTTATTTAGAAATCTGTCAAACTGCAACAATGTAATGTCTAAACTACAACCATGGTCAAAAATTCAGAAAAAATTGTATGAAGCTACCAGAAAATTTGCTCTTGACAAATACTCATGGTTAAATAGTAATAAAGGAAGAATTAATAGATTTCAAACCAGAGTAAAAGGTTTGTATTTATAAGAAGCAACCCAATGATGAGGGGTACTGAAAAGTTCTCAACTTGAGAATCACTCCTCAAAATTCAGTATTTTGATGTTTGATCACTGAAAACACTGATTTTGAGAAATTTTCAGCATTTCATATGGACAAAGAAAATATCAAGTTCAGTTTTCTGTTTGGTACTATACAGATAGTAGTAGTCAACTAAAATAAGTTGTAATAAAAATTGGGATTTAATATGAATGATATTGACATTTATGATTTAGTTTCTAATCACTGGCAACTTGTCTCAGAGCATTTGAAGAATGTATATTATGAATCATAATTTATTCTGGAATTACCTCTGGAAGTAGGCCAGAAAATATTTTCGGTGACAAACTTATTACTGACAATTACCAATTGTCAGTAATAAGTTTATCACCAAAAATAGTTTTTTCTTGCGTGCATTATTTTTCATGAATAGGAAGAAATTCTTTTCTATGCACCACCCAACAGACCTTTTTAAGTTGATCAATGATCTTCTAGGAATAGAAAATTGCATTATTTAAGTCACTAATAGTTAATCTGAAGCTATGTCTGCTCAAAGAATCAGTTTGGGAATTAGAGAATTTGTTTTATTTTTAATAATTACACATTTCAATAAAACCAGCTATAAAAAAAAATTAGGATAATGGTAATAATAAATAATAAGTAGTCACAAATCACTAGTAAAGACTACAACATAGAGGATAAAGATATCTCTCATCTTTTTTAGCCTTGTGATGAAAAGTCCAATCAAACTGTTGTGTGTAATTCTGTTTTGTCTTTGATGTCCTTTTTTTTTGTTTTTAATTATCAATGAGCATACAAACAAAGAAAAGGTACGTGCACATACATGTACTGTATTAGAAAAATGCTCAAACTTACTACAAATTGCTATGGAAATAGTGTACAATAGACCAAATAAGTTTCTGTACTATACCAAAAATTTACTATTTTCTTAAAATAGATGCCTATAAATTTATCACAATTCCAAATTTAATATACAAGTTTCTAATGTTAGGAATAAAATTTTGTTACCACAGTTCAAAGAATTGTAAAGAAAAGAAATTATTTGAGATATAATAATAAAATAAAAAAATGCCTGTACCATAAAAAAAAAGTACTTGTTAATGTTGGTTGCATGACCTTTGTTAACCAACACTCCTCCCAAACACTTTTTGTACAATAATACAAGGTTCTTGCAGCAGCCAGATGATTTTTATTATTATTATTATTCTCTGCATATTACCTTTAACTCAGTGATGTCCTTTGGTTGACATTTTCCAACTTTAATTTTCAGTTCTTTCTATAAATTTTTTGATGGATTAAGATTTGGTGATTGTCTGGGCCACTCAAGAACATTTGATTTGTTTATTAGCTCACCATTTCTTAGTTTCATGAGCCATGTGTTTGTGATTATTGTCCTCTTGAAATATCCTGCCATGTCTCATAAGTTTAGAGCAGATAAATACTTATATAATGATGTTCAATATGCCTATAATGGCACCAAAACTAAAAATTGGTTATAACATAGAAAGAGTAGAGCAATTTATTCCAAACTCTATCTGCAGAAAACCATCCCCCATATTGTGAAACTGTCCCCTCCATGTTTCACAGTAGCTATGATACACTTTAAAGCATACACTTTGTTTGGTTTTCACCACACAGTATTTTTATAATTGTTGCCCAATAGGTTGATTTTGGTCTTATCTGACCACAAAAAGCTGTTACAAAACAAAACATCTTTATATGCTTGCTAGCAAGCATAATACATGCTTTAAGATGCTTTTTATTCATTAGAGGCACATGGTAAGCTGCTCAATATTTTTTATATTCCTTCCCAACACAATGCGTTTGATCTTTCAAATAATTCCTTATCAAGAATATCATGAATTTTTTTTTCTTGGGACATTGAATCTTTGTCAGTTTGCAACCAGGTTTTCTTTCTCCATTTGTTAACTATATACTGATATAAACTTTTTGAACATTAAACTGCTTTGAAAGCTTTCTATAGACATTTCCTTTATTATATTCTTCCAAAATATTATTCTTGACCTCCATTTAGGTTTTCTTTTCTCTTCAAAATGATGGATGTGTTTTGCTTTTTTGAGATCAGAATTAAAAAATTTATGAGAAAAATGATTGAAAGGAAGAAAAAATAGTATGTATGTAATCTAAGAAGTAATAAAAATTGAAAATATAAATTAATTTTAATAAGTGAATAAGTAAATGTAAATTAACCAGTGTTTATTAATGCAACTGTGCAATATTTTTTTTTTTTTTACCTTCTTTCTTTCTCTCAAATAAATCCTTTTATTTATAATTTTTGAACTATGGTAATAAATTCCTAATGTTCTAACTTTATAGACCTCTTCTGTCATATTTGTGACAGTTGCAATAAATTTACAGGTATTTATTTTAAGAAAATAGTCAATTTTTGGCCTAGTACAGAGACTTATTTGACCCACTGTCACTTTAAATGCATTGGCAGAAGCTCATTAATTTCCATTCTTTGCAATTATTCAAACATGCTTTGTAAAAATCCTACAAACAATTTTTTGTCTTTAGTAACATGAAATCAGTTTCTCTCACTTATTGCAGTTTGCCACCTTTTATTCACATTTTTTTTTTTTTTTTTTTTACACTGTTCTTAATTTGGGAAGTTTAATGGATAAGTCAATGATTATGATAAGAAATGTAAGAAATTTTCCAAGGTAAAATTCCCTTATTTCTAAGAAAGTTGCATTAACAGCATTATATCTCAGCTATGAAAAATTTTTGCATTGATCAACTCAGTCTACAAGAAACTGTTAGAAATGTTGCATTTCAATCTTTGAAAAATGCTTATATAAAATATAAACTTCATTTTTGCAAAATGTTTTGCATTGCTTTTGTGTAATTAGCTACAATTTTTGTTTTAATTATATATGCGATTTGATTGGAGAAAATAAAGCAGATTTGCTGCATTCTCAGAAATAACCTTAATGTAAACAAATATTATTTTTAGATCATTTATTCAAATAGACTATTTGATAGCTGTGAGAAATGTTTTAAAAGACTCAGCAATACTGAGGTAACCTCCTGATGACTTCTTATCCAATAATATTTAGATTGATTTTATATAATATTGAAAATATCCATTATCACTTGTGATTATATTTTTCACAAATGTATCTAATTGTGTCCTTTTTTTTTTAACTAGAAGATCACGAGGTCGAGGACGTAAAAACAATAACTTTGAAATTTTGGAACCCTTGCCAGTTGAAGATGAGAAAATAGAAGCAAAAGGAATTGCTGAGGAGGAGCTGGGAGGAGATGAAGAAAATTGTGTTCATAACTTTGAAGTAAGTTAATCTTTTTCACACTTTCCACCTAAATTTTTTTTTTTTTTTTTTTTAATAAACTTTATATTCTTGAGATTTTCTTGTATATTTTTAGGCTTGAGTATTTTCAATCTTGTATCTTGCATTCTGCTTATTTCTTTTCATTTAAAATCTCTGTGTTTATCTCTTGTTTAAAACAGCTCCGTATATCCTTTAACTTACACACTGCACACATTCACTAGGCCGAATTAAAAATTATTCTCATTGTTAAGCAGCTTGACTACTTATTTTTAGTTAGTCATGATGAGCTGGAATTTGAATCCAGAAACTGCTTTTGAGATCTAGTTAAAAAAAAAAAAAAAATCATTCTCATTATAATAAAATATAATTTTATAATAACTATAAAAAGTCACAATGTTCCAACATATCTATTGCAGGTTCTCTCAGAAAGAAAACTTTTAACTAAATGATCTCTATTTTCCAGAGTCTAATATTTTATAAGACAACTCTGAAAAAAAAAAAATTAAACCTCATCTAGTTGAATCTGATAGTCAATAGAACAATTAGAATGTTTACAATGTAATTTTAAACTTGAATTAAAATTTGTCTTGAAAGCTATGGTAACTATTATTTTGAAACAAAAATTTCTAAAGTTTTTCAATAGGTGGCATTTGAACATGTTATTTCATTTCATATGTGACTGAAATTTGACCTTCTGAAGGTTACATCTCAGTGTTTCTTTCTATATGATTTGTGAGTGGATTGGAAATTTTGTCTGTGAAAATGGAGGAAAATGAGATGCATTTTTGTTATTTTATTCTCTTTTATTTCTGGAAAAGCAAAACATAAAAACAGCAAGGAAAATGTCATTTATGGAGATGGTGTCATAGCTGAGAGTACTGTTTGTAAGTGGCTCACTAGGTTCACAAGTGGTAATTTTCATCTAGAAGACCAAGAACATTCTGGCAGGCCTGCAGTTGTCAATGATGACCAAATTGAAATGCTAATTAAAAATAATCCTGGTCACATGACGCAAGACATTACAGATACAATGCACATATGAGCTTTGTTAACACTTAAACACTTAGATACATGAATCGATATTGAAAACACTTAGATACATGAATTTCTACAATGTTTTGGGCACCTCTTGATGTAATGGAAAAAATTTGATAGACCACATTTCCATCTGTAATTCTCTGCTCATGTGCGATAAAAGCAATTCATTTTTGAGGTAATGAAAAACAAATTGTTAACAATATGTAGTGAAAAAGTTCCTGGAAAAAATAAAATGAGGCACTGTTAGTCATTTCAAAAACTACTTAACCTCTGAAGGTGTTGCTGTGTATCTAGTAAGATTTGAAAGATATTGTGTATTACAAGCTCCTTTGGCAAAATCAGATATTGAATCAAACAAGTACTGTTCTCAGTTGGACCAATTTAAAGGCAGCAATTCATAAAAAGCATCTGAAATTGGCTCATTTGGAAGGACATAGTGTTCCTTCAGAACATCCAGCAGACATTGGTACAGCTTGGCTGGGGTATCCTAGTATACATGCCATATTTACTAGACCTTTGTACCCACAAATCCCCAATTATTTCTCCTACAATAGAAAAAAAAACTTCAATTCTCTGGAAGCTTGCAAAAGCCACTTAGACCAGTTTATTACTCAGAAAGATGCCAAGTTCTGGTTGGATAAAATCATAATGCTGACTTAAAGATGGCCAAAGGTAGGGGAACAAAATGGCACATGTGGTTCAATAAATCTGTGTACAAATATCTAAATATTGTCTTTGAAATTCACTTAAAAAAAAATTATGAACTTTTGTTCCAACCCAATAATTGAGCAGCAATTGGATGGGTCATTGAGGTTTATTGGAGATTACAAAATTATTTCTGGGATACCAGATTTGTCTTCAACTACAAATTATACATAAAATCACATAGTTCAAATGTTCCTTTTTAATTGCCAGATTGTAACTTTTTTCTTATCATACAACTCATTTTTTTGTCATTTCTTGGCGCTTTCCAAACATCAGTCCTTTTGGGAGATCATTTTCTCTAAAGAATTTGGTGAAGTGATCTTCATGTTAACCTACTGATTGTCTATTACTTTTGTTTAGTAAGAGAGCAGCACACTAACAAAATGATGCCCAATATACCCATTATGGCATCAAGTTTAATAAGAGTATGCCACACATATACATCACAGCCAAATAGGCACAATATGATAACAGGTTTTGATAAAAGCAGTGCATAAACTTGCAAGTGTGGGACCCAGTTTGAAATACTTTCAAGTCAAATAATCCACTCCACTCAGATTGTATCTGATTGAGAGTGTTCCCAATTATTTGGTTGTAACTCCTAAGTCATCTTAGTTACTTCATCCTTCACACTTTAAAAAAAAAAAAGAAAAAAAAAAAAGGAAGTCCACTTAACACCCAATTATGATGCTCCCCAATTAATTTTGCTCATGAACAGAGATGCATAAGGCAACAATCCCCTAGGGCACATGCCTAACTGGTTAAAATCAAGGAACTAACATACAAATCTGTTATACTGAATAGGTGATTTATCAAGACAAAATATGCTCAGGTTAAAACCTCTGATCAATTAACACTAGAAACCATGTGAGCCGTGCTTGGTGTAGCACCAGGGTATTCATTATCATTAGATCTTTGCTGATACTTAGATGTTTTGGCCAGGTGATAATGGTCTTGTCTTGGCTCCTAGACACAGTTTAAAGGCACAACACTTTCTTTAGCACATGATTTGTTCTAAGCAGCACTCTGACCTGCAACTTTCTAATGATGTTAGGTATCCCCAAGGCATCTTGCAAGACAGGGATTTTTGGAGATAGTCCTCAGGTGTGCCAACCACAACAGGGACAACTTTAGCTGCTTCTTGGTGCATTTCTCTGATTTCCCCTGTCAACTTTTAGTACCTCTCTATTTTCACCTGCTCCTTTTTTATTATTATGTTTCATATTTACATCAGCTGCCTGGTGATCATAACTGAGGATTAAATGACAAGTTACTTCAAATCTCCATGAACTTTCTCTGTATTCTTGCAGACATCAAAAATGTTTGTCCAGCTTAAATCTTTCATCTGATTTCCAATTCATCCAAACTTGATTCCAGTGTTTTTGGCACATTTCTGTTTACTGTTATGGGCATCATTCTAACTTTCATCTTCCATGTCTTTCTCACTACTCTTCATAATCACTTGGTGGATGTAGTTGTACCAACAGATCACAATCTGGCAGGTTCTTTTTTTTTAATTTAATGTGGACTATTTGAATGTCAATTGGTATGAAAACCAAATGATTTGGGATAATAATGTTATATTGAATGTAAAGAGAAATGTAGATTTTTGCTTTAAAAAAAAAAAAAACAAAAAACAAAAAAAAAACAGACATCTTTGTGCTATTAATTAAATATTTGTATTTCTCACCACCATTATCACTGAGCTTATTTTTGCTGGCTTCAAGATGGTCACTGGTCTTGTTTGATATATGCTTATCTGTTAGAGCAATGTCAAATTTAGATTAAATCTAACATTGTATTGAAAATGATAAAGTATCATGGTTATAAATAAATTTATAGTTTTATTTTTCTAATGTATCAATTATTTGAAAATGTTCGTTCTGTTAGAGCCATCCAAACCCTAACATTACAGGACTCCATGTCAGAATTTACTTTTTCATTTATAACATAGAAACTTCAGCTTTGCTCAGCACAAAATTCAACTTTTCCTATGAAAATTAAGACAAAATTCAACAATCTAATAAATTTAGATCTTGAATATATCTTTATATATGTATATTTATACACTCAAAGCAAAATTTTGGCTTATAATAAATGTACATTTCTTACATAGTTATTCTTAAAAAATTATTTTGAGCCTTTCTATAAAAATTATAATTCCTAATTTTTGAAAACTGACACTTTCTTGAAAAGAAAAAATGTATGCAGTTAACCAATTACATGAGTCTAGTTGTCATGAAAATATTCATTTTCTGGCCTATTTGGGTGTTTTACTTCTAAACTGGAACCACAGTTGTACTTTCTTATATTAATTGCTTTAAAGTATTTGTTTAAATGTTTCATTATTTTTTAAATGAAAGTATTCAGTAGAATAAATCAGTCAGAAGATAGTCTACTGATCAAGGAAATTGAAATCACAAACTCTGATTTAGTTTTTTTGTTTCGATTTAAATTACAATGAAAAAACAAACAAACAAGCTATATATATATATATATATATATATATATATATATATATATATATATATATAATCTCTTCTTCTGTATGGAGCACTTTTTAAAAATAAAAACAAAAATACTAAAGAGCCCTGGACTACTTACCTAACGTGTTCTTTCCTATTTTTCTACACACACACACACACACACACACACATAGCGAGAGAGAGATATCTTATTTTACCCCCAAGTAAGGCGATAAAGCCACTAATACACAAGGGATTACTCAGAGAAACTGAGAAAACATTATTGAGGAAAAAGACAATAAAAGAGTAGAATTCAAAAAGACAAAAGATGATTGAAATTTTTGAAGATCATAGTTGACAGGAAAGTAAGATGCTAGAAAAGAGTTCTACAAGCAAGAAGAAAGTATTAGAATAGAACTTATGGTTACATTTAGCAATTTCAACAGTAAAATGATGAAACTTAGCTGTCAATCTAGTACTTCATGAAGTCTAAGTGCCAAATAGGAAAGCTCATCAGAACAATTACCATGAAAATATTTATAGAAAAGGCTTGGAAAAGCTATATTATAATGATGAGAAAGTGTTTGAAGCTGAAATGCCAGGTCAAAGACAATAACCTTGCAGATTCTTCTTTAGATTTTGTGATGAATCTTTAAATATATAGCAGAAACACCAAACCATATGTTGCAACAATATTCAATGCATGGATGAATGGTAGACTTCTTAAGGTGTAAGATAGTTTCAGGTGAGAAAGATTGCCTCACACTACACAGTGAACCAATGTTCCCAGCAGCAGAGCTAGCAATTGTTTCAATATAATTGTTCTAATTCATACCAGTGAAAAATGTTAGATCAAGAAGGTTCAATGAGTTAATCTTCTGGTGATGGAAGGCAATATAAAAAAAAATTCTCTAAGACTATTAAAAGAGAGCTATTTAGTTTTGGATGTGTTAATATTAAGAAGCCAGTTCTTGCCTCAGCAACATATTGGAGGTATTTTTAGATCAGCTGCCAATTTGACTTTATCAACCCTATCAGACTTTGGGAACCAGAAAAATTATTATGGATGCCTTTGTCTGGAATTTTAAAAAAATATTAAAATATGGCTCTTTTTGAAGATTTTGTTATTTAATTTTTAATTCAGATTTTAGGATTATTGTCTAAATAAAAACACAAATTTGCTTATTTCATATAAAGATTTTTTTTTTTTTGTAATTTTTTTTTAATATCAATTTAATATTTTAACATTTTTAAGTCTTTCAAAAGGTGTACCAGTCTAAACTTTTATTTTAAAATACCTGATGTCCTTTAATAAATATACAAAGAAAGATATTGGAAAAATATTGTCTCCAATTACTTTTAAAATAATTTTAATATTAGACAGCTGTTGACTAGATATTATTAACAAGTGTGCAGGCTCATAATCATTTCTGCTTTTCAGTTGTCATTCTCACACTAACTACATCGTAGCTAAGATACACTGATTAAAAGAACAAATGATATATAGGCTGCATTACTTCAAAAGAATTTGTAGAAGAATTTAGCCAATATGTTACATGGTGACATTGTAGGTAGGGATATACATCATGTATGGAATTTAGGTAATTGTAATGTGCACTTTAAAGGACAAATTTTAAATTTTACTGATAGTAATCATAAAATGTTTTATTTTGCAGAAGATGAGGGCTATACAATTTCAAAATATAACCTAGAAGTAGATTATTTAAATAAGGATTTATATTTTTAATTAAACTAATATAGTGCATGAATTTCTCATTGAAAATATTTTGCACGTAATATTCTTTTTCTAATTGCTCCAATACTTGTGTATAACCTATAAGATTTTTTTCTATTTTGAAAATGAAATAGTTTTCCTCCTAAAATTATTCACAGTGAAAATTTTATTTCTTTTAAATATCAATTGTTTTCACCCAAAATATTTTCAAAACAAAAAATAGTAAATGTAGTATTTCACTTTTTCTTATATCCTTTATAATCAACATTTCATATGATATTGTGTTCTCCAGAATTAACTTTATAAAAGTAATGATTGTTCTATTTATAAAAAAAAAAAATTGTTTACAAAAAATATTTGTTTTCATTAAGCTTTATTTTATTACTGGCCATAATACTTGCAAATGCAAGCCATTCAATTCACAGCTGCCAAGAATTTGTGTGGCTTTTGTCAGCTGGTAATACAAATATCACCTCACCCACCCAAATTGACATTTAGCTCATACTGACTATTGCAAGCCACCCATGTTGTATATATATATATATATATATATATATTTTAATTTGGTAACTATTGCAATCACAGTAACTATTTTCTATAAAATTGTCTTGATTAATTTTATTAATAGATTTTTAATTGCTTATAATATCAAGTTCATTTTTGTCCATCAGATAATGGATGTCATTCCCCACTTTCCTCCCAATTAAAAACAAATTTTGACTTTTAGCAAGAGACAAATTTGGATTCTTATTTTTTTATCATGAAAGTAAGAAAAATCATAAGAATTCACTTTTCAAATTTTTAGTGATTATTTTTCGATCTGACATTAACATTCTGAATAGTGATGTTTACAATGAAAGTATTTTTGAAGCTTCAACTTTTTAGTGTTTGTGTGTATGCATATTCATTAAAAATTATTTACAGAAAAATCATGATTTTGCATTATTTTGTTATGAAACAGAACTGAATATAAAATGCATATTCACTGCTTTTTTTTTTTTTTTTTAAGAACAGCAGACAATGGATTACTGAAGCTTAAGAAACAAGTCCAATTACTATTTTGAGCTCATCAACAAAAGAACACATTTGAAAATGTCAGAATATAAAAACTGCTTAATTGAAAAAAATTTTGAAGGGTGATATAGCACAAAAACAAATTAGAAATAAATTAATCAACCTGCGTCTCATTTCCAAAGCTTAGGAAAATATCTATCAGTTTGACCGGAGTCAGGATCATTTTCACTGGAATCCAGTGATCCTTTCATTGTCTGCATAGTATGTGCTTTATCAGGCTACATACTATTTTGAATTCTAAATTGTCCTTTTGGCTGCCAACCAAGAATAAAGATCCCAGTCTGCCCTACTATATAAGCTGTAGCTAGATAGGAGAGAAGAGATGGATTCATACCTTTCTCAATGGTATCTCTGCAAAAGTGAATGTGACAAAACTCTTAGGAAATTAAAATTTGCTTTACCAGTTTCTTGTTCCACGTAGTGTTACATCAAAAAGTTTCAATCAATGTTTAAACACATTATTTTTTTTATTCTTTAAAGTGATTTTAATTGTATCAAAAATTGTTTCTTCTTGAGTGACATTTTTAAAAAGGAGGACAAAAGATTACATAATATATGTTTTTAAAAAAGAATTGTTAGGTTATACAAAACTATTTATTTTATAAATGTTTTTCATTTTTTGAAGTAGCAAATAGTTCATTTTTATGTCATCATTTTTTGCCTTTTTTACCCAAACCCCTCTGTACATAAAAAAAAAAAAAAAAAATCAACTGCCATATTTTAATCTACCAATCAAAGCTAATATAAAACATTTTTAGCAATAAAAATCTGCCATCATTGTTATTATTTTTAAATTTCTTGAATTATTGAATTGTCCATTTGCAAGTTGTTTTTTATTTTATAATGTAAGCTCAAGATACAAGTTTGTTGACATCTTTTTTTTCTTATTACAAGAGTGTGCTAAAGTTTTGGACCTAACCAAGAAACCCTTTGCAAAAAAGATGATGGAGAGTCATTTGATCATATTTATTTTGGCAAGTGGTTTGGGCCAAGAATATTTTTACACTCTGTTATATGTATACTGTAACTTTGTCAGGCTATTAGTTCACTTCTTATTGAATTAAGATATAAACATTTTGATTCCTAAGGTATTGATTGGTATATTAAATTCATTTATATAGGCTGCACTAAGGGTAACTTTGCACTACACAGCAAACTACTATGAAACTAAAACTTAATATATATTCTTAAATAGTCTTGTTAGATTGAGACTTTCATATTGATGTCATGCATGATTCGAAACTTGTTCAGAAATATCTAAATTGTCAGCTGTATACAACTGCTTTCTCAGTTCAATGATTAAAAATGGTTCTGAGCAAATGAAGCCTGTAGGTCTTAGCAAAGAGTATCCTTTTCTGAACCTAGTGGATTGGCACTACAGAATTGCAAACAAATAAATGGACTCAATAACAGAAAACACATTACTTGAGGTCTTCTAACAACTGTAACAACTAAAATGGATACCACATCTAACTCAGAGAAAATAATGGCATAATCAAGGAGTTAACATTCCATGTTATTTCAAACAAAATGTTAGGAAGGAATCCCCCATCAATACTAGAAAGAGCAATAACAGCTAGTGGATGTGAGGAACCTATTTTCCAGAAAAACTTTTTTAAAGAGAAAAATTTGATAAATTTCAACCAACTGTAACACTAGCTGCTTGGTCAATGAATGCCAAATGTTTCCTTATAAGGAAACTCCTAATATTACCATTGTGGAGTTTCATTAAACAGAGCTTCATTTTTTATTGTCCATTCCTAACTGTTATATTATTAATTATAACTTTATCTAGTTCTCATGTTTTTAATGACCATTTAATGTTTTCCAACATAAAATTTGAATAATTTATATATTGGATTTGTCCTGTTGGAGAATATGGATTCAGTTAGTGTTATATTCTTTGCTAATAGGAATATGGAATAGACAAACACAGTGGATAAATAGTAACAGGTTTATTGTAGAAATCAATACAACAAGCAAGGAAGTAATAGTTATGCGCATGGTCATAGCAAGTCAGTACAGTTGTGTGCGTGCTGTTATCAGAAGGCCGCTAGTTCTCGCAGATCCCAGCTCAACTCTTCTGTCTGCTGTCCTAACGGATACTTATAGATGGCTACCGCCTATAGTGCCACCGCTCATGGGGGTGGCAGGTTATTCCATTACATCAGTTAGCAAGTTAAATCAATTCTTGGTTAGACAGTTCTTTTCAAACCAGTCAAAGCTCAGCAAATATTCAACTATCTTGAGTCATGAGAAACTTCTATTTGTTTGCTGTTTAATGCTCCTAATAGCTCATTGAGTTTTAGCAATGTTAAATCTTTTAAATAATGTCATGAAATTTTTAAAACACACACGGAGAGGATGATAAGGAAATACGTAAAAATAGAAAAGTTTGCAAGTTAGGAGTATTACATTGGAATATTTTAATCAATTGTACTTGTATAATTGATTTTTACATATGTATTTTTTTTTTCTATTTTTTTTAGGAAGGTGAATTTATTATTGAAAAAAAGGATTTGAATAACTATGATAAATTTCCAGTTTGGAAGATTGAAACTGGACGTCTGCAGAAATATGAGCTTATCAATGAAGAGGACAAAATTTACCATAGAGCTGTGCCAACTGTAAGTATTTTTTCTCTATTTTTTTTTTCTCCTCCCATCTAAGTTTTGGCCTTCAGTCTTAATTTAGAAAAAAAAATGCATTCATTATATTTGCTTTGATAAATTTAATCTTAGAAAATATTACTGCTTCTGCCTTTCATAAAATCAATGTAATTATGTTGGTTTATGTATTGTCTTAGCAAAATAAGTTTTTTGTCTTGGTAGTTAAAATGTTTTTGTGAATTTGTAATTAATGATGTCCAGTGGTATGTTATGGTTGAACAACTTGGTCACTAAGTTGCATGAATTATGTGTTTACTTGAGCTTGAACCAACAATAATTAGTCTAAATGATTAACATAAAGATAAGAAGAAAAAAAAGCTGGAAGTTGATATTATGCTCAATTTGTGTGTGTATAATCATTGTGTATCTGTTTGGTATTAATTAAAATTGAATTTTTGTACGTACTGCTTTGAAAGTGTTAGATGACTTGTATTTTTTATTGATACATAAGGTGAATTGTCAATGTGTGCTGCTGCTTTTCAGTTGACTCTATTGAAATCTGGATTCAATAGTTTTTCTTGGAATAGTTTCTGGAGACACGAATAGTACAGTGTTTTTTGTTTTTTTTTGTTTTATTTTCTACGCAAAGGAACAGAACTGCTATTTCTACAATGGAATCCTCCTGCTCTCTTCTCTTTACAATGGTTTCTTCTTTTCTTTATCATTTTGAAATTGCCAAAATGAAATTAACAATCCAGGCTAATTAGTATCCTCATCAATGTTTCCTAGTTTATTGGAAAATAATTGCTGCATAGGATCCATCAGTAATACTGCTTAGTAACAATTATAGATATTGCTCTCTTCCCTCCCTACTGCTTTCTGTTTTGACAAGTCTGTTCTCTTGTCTTCTTCAAGTGAATGTGCAATCTGGATGCTGAATCTGCCAAACAATGTGACAAAATGTAATTTGTTAGATGCTAGATTTGCCTGCAAAAAATTATTAGTTACATTTGGAATAATATAGAATGAAGTAATACTGTAGAATCAAATGTCTGAGGGAACCAGCATTTATGCTAGGCTATGAGGCTATCCTTAGAAGGCCTAGCATATAAGTAAATATCATATGAGAGCAGTTAATAAAGAGAAATGACAAGGCTTCAGCAGCACTAAGAAAGAGAAGCAATGGTGAATGCAGTATATACGAAAGAACATTAAGTCTAAGACTCCAAAGTTCTAGATACAGGATTGCCATATGATCCAATAGCTAAATGGATTAAAGTCTTGGTTCATAGATTTAGTGATACAATAATTGTGAATTTAATCCTGGGTAGTACAGATTTAGACTCAATGAAAACATGGTGAGCAATGACTGAGAACAATAAGAACAAGACGAGTTATTCCTAGGCATGGACAACAAAACAAAAAAAAAAATTAGCCCTGTAGATTAAATAAAGGATTCAGTTCAAAATTCTCTAAATGCTAACCAGATTGATGGACTGTCTGAAGAAAATGAGGGGGCACAACAGCTGAATGAAACATTGTGATTAGTAACAAAGATGAAATGTCAATAATGATCATTCCTAATCCTAGAAATTCAAACTGAAAAATTATTTCAGTAATTGCACTATTAACCAAACAGTATTACATTCAGTGCAATTTCTTCATATCATTGCATTATTTTAACTGGAAGATAATTAAAAATGTCTGTTAGTTTCTTTTACATTCAAACTATCAACTTGTGTTATCAATATTGTTTTAAATAATTCTGTTAAAATATGTTCTCAGAAAACAAAGAATTATTTAAAACAATATTTAGATTTCTGCATTAAATAACCCATAGGGTTTAATATGCCACTAAACAAAAACAACCAACCAACCCTATTTTAACCAATGTTTTTTGTATGAATATAGCTGTTTTTGTGTAGTAATGGAATTGAGTTGCATGTTGTTAGATACTATTTTCTTAAATACATTCAAAATAAGTGTAAAATCAAGTAAATGAAAGTGTACAGCACAGAAATTAACTTTACAATCTTGGAATAATTAATCAAAAGTTGTAATCAGAGCTTAAATTAGAAGTTACATATCACATTTTTGCACCATCCTGTCCTTGTTTAAAAGCTTCCCAATATCCTAAACCACGTTGTGATAAGTTTGACTCAGATCCCTAAATTAATACTGACAATTATATCATAAAGTAAATGTGTAATTGTATATCTTTTTCCACAAATATTAGTGTGTCAAATAATATTAATAAAATTTTGAGATGTCTATAAATATTTACTTTTTTTTTTTTTTTTTTTTTTTTTTTTAAAGCCTTTTGAGTGAGATAACTACACTTAGATTTCTCACAAACTTGTTTGATTAGTAAAATTAGACTTGATTGATTATTGTCCACACATTAATTTAATAGTTAGTGTTCAACCAAGCTGCTACTCTGCATGTGTTATTACACATTTTGACTGGATCTTAAGGAGAGTCATCAAAAAGTTTATATGGAGAAAGATTCATCCTATTCTTAATTGAGTGTTATAGTATAAATTGATTTCTCAGCTAATGCATTAGTTGTCATCAAAATAAATCAATGACTTTCATTCAGTTATTCATTGTTGTAGGAATGTTCCATTAACCTTTATTGGATAATTTTATCTTGGACAGTTCATTTTTAGCATTGAATAAAAAAAATAGAACAAGTACTCATATCCAATTTATTTTCTAACTTAAATATGTATATTTTAAATATTTGAACTCAACTTAAATCTGGCACCACATATCTGTAAAGATTAAACTAGCTATCTGTAGATTGCAAAATAAATGTAAGGAAAATGGCTACTGACCTATCAAAATCGGATATTAATAGTTGGGCTTTGCAAAATTTTTATTTAATTTAAATGGAACTATTTTTTTTCTTCTCCATTACAAAGATTGATTTTTAGTTTGACCTCTGTTTAATTTTTTAAGAATGTCACCAACTCTATATGAAATAGAACTCAGTTTCAGTGTTCTTTTCTATGTTGTAGATTTGTTATAGACTTTTTTCTTTATATTGTGCTTGTCATTACTTTTACTATTAAAATTTATCTTCAAAAATTCAAACTTAAACCAATGTCAGGGTTTAGATATCATTTTTATTTTATCAACAGGCACTGCTTAAATAGACTGGTTGACTCATAAAACAAATATAAAGAAATTTTTGAAGGGAAATAATTCTTCTGCATTAGCATTCTTTAGACTTTTCTTAGACTGTGATACTTGTCAGAATTGAAGAATATTGATTTATCAATTCAGAAGGGGGTCTTTGTTTATAATACTGATGCAGTGTCAAATTGATCCCAGAAATTTAAATTTATTGACCTTAGCTATTTTATGTACAAATGCAGACTTTTTTGGAGGTGAGGTTACAGAATGATTTTTCTGAAATAACAAATGGAGATATAGAGAACAAAAATATAAATGAATTATGTATCCATATATTCTTAATTTAAGATAAATAATTATGAACCTCAAATATTTTTGTATGTGCTTCTGAAAAATTCCATGCAAAAAAAAAAAAAAAAAAAAAAAAAAGAAAGAAAATGATTAAAGATCAAGAAAATCAAGTCACATTTTCAAACTTAAAATTTGTGACTTAACCTAAGGCCAATAACTCTGTAAAAGTCAGGGATTGACTTGATACTGTATCAATATTATAAAATAGACACTCATTTCTAAATAGATAACAAATAAATATTTTTCGATTCTGACAAGTATCTCAATCTAAAGAAGATTTAAAGAATTATAATGTACAAAAATTATTTCTCCAAAACGTTTTCACAATTTTTTATGAGTGGACCAGTCTACTTAAGCAGTGTCTATCAGCAATTAAAGAGCAATTAATGTTTCTCTCCACTCTCTTTTCCCAATTAAAACATGTCGTTATCCTTTTCAAATATAAAAAGGCCGACATGGGTAACCCCAAATTTAATGCACCACTGACCATTTTTGTCTAGATACATGCAATCCTTGGCAGGAGAAACCTTTGTTAAATCTGATGTGCTTTAGACTGTCTCAGTCACAGAGTGCATCAATGATCACACAGTTGAGTAATGCTTTATAAAGGCAAATTTTTCCTAGACTCTCAAAACACTTATATCTGCTTAATTTCATATCCGAATATAAACAGAGCAATTTTTAAAGAATTGATGAATTTTTATTTATTAATCTGACAGGTTTTATTAATTAAACATTATTTTTTAATTGGAGAAGCAACAAAACCATCCTTGTAATCTTTTTTGTTTTTATCTTTTGGTATCAGTAGAGTTTTCTTAAAGTTTCCAGAAAGTCTTATTACCCTTTATTTCTCTCTGCTACTGGGAGACAATGCTATTTTCTGCTTAATTTCATGTACTTGAAAAGTGACCTTTGATTGATGTGCAACTATAAGTTGTAAAAGACTTGATCTCTAGATTCATCGACTAATAGGCAGTTGATTGGAATAGCATAGAATTTGATTAGAATTTCTATGATAAATTTCAATTAATCAAAATAATTATTCTGAAAAAAATACAGTTCTTGTTTTATTCTTAAAATTGTGTTAATGTTTGAATTTAAAATAAAAAAATATATATATATATATATATATATATATATATATATATATATATATATATATATATATATATATATATATATAAATTTTTAGAAATTATCTCAAGTTCAGGAAGCAAAATGTGTCATTTGTATTTTCTAGGTATGTCTAATGGTTAATATTTTTTTTAAAGTTTTCTAGTACAATATAGATAAGTATTATTTGTTCAATTTTTTTAATTATTAATATTACATTCACTATCTCTGTTTACATGTTAAATGAACTATGGAAATTTTGTTATCTGCTGACTTTCAACATGTTATTTTAGTATTATGTCACTATATAATCATTAGAATGAATTAGTTTAGACAAATTTGTTTTAATAAATTCTAACAATATCTTAGATTACATAAACAACTTGTCTGAAATGAGTATTTTACTTTTCTGAAATTTTTATATTAAATATATTCATTATTCTATATACCTTTTGGACTACTGTCTTTGCTTTTGACACATGATTTCAGCAGATATATATTTGAGACAAGCCAAGTAATGTATTTTGTCTTTAGAATTTGCTAAGGACTTTTTCTTTTTATTTCTTCAGTGACAACCAATCCTAAGTTTTGTGATTGTTGGTTGAAATCAATCATCTAGTATGACCTGTTGAAGGAAGTGCCAGAAATTCAGTGTCAACAGCTGATAATGATCTCTAAATAGACTTGTCTCGACTTCGCATATTGAGGAGGGAGAGGGCTTAACTACCCAAATTAGTTTTTCTGACCACTAATTCTATACAGTACTAATAATTAGGTTTTGCTAATGTAGTCATTTATTGACAAGTTTCTGTATAACTTTTATTTTTATACTCTCTATCATTGTTTTTTTTTTTTTTTTTTTTTTTTGAGTCTGCTATTTTGATCTTTTCTAAAGGGTCAGTGTGCTCCTTTTTTATTTCTTTACATGTTTAGCCTGATTTGCTTGTTTCAGTTTTAATACTGGCATTCTGGTGTGTTTAAATTTGGTCTTTAGGAGAATATTTTCTGCTTTCTTTATATTCTTTACCACAATTGTGCCTGAGTTTTTTTGTTTTTTTTTGTTTTTTTTTTTAGTTAGCATTTTGCTTTGAAAGGATTCTGATATTATACTGAAATTCTGTTGGACTGCTATATTCTCATTGAAAAAGAAAAAATGTTTAAGGAAATTCTAAAGACCAAATACAACTTGTGTGAGGAAGGCTGAAGAATGTATTTGATGAAATATGTTAAACATAATAAATGAAGACAATAGCTCCCATATACAATAAAAATGTATTATGTATTAATAAGTATGTTTTGCAAATTCAAAATTTAAAGCAGTACTCTGAAATACACGTGTTAATAAAAATGAAAAATAATAAAAAAAAACCTTGTCTTTTAGAATTCTGAATTTCCTTTGTTGATGTAAGTTATGCTTAGTAATCTGTTAGATAAAAAGATTAAATTCTTGTCTGATTAACATATTTAATTTGTTAGTTTCAACCAAATTAAAAGTGCTGAATAAGACTTTATTGAATAGTTCAGTTAAGACATAACTTGTATGCATTTTGAATAATAAAAATATTTTATCTTTTCAATAAAATTCTTTAGTTGTAGATTTAATTTTATTAAAGAGGTATCTTATTTTAGGATAGAAAAATTTATATTTAAAAAATAGTATAACTATACATATGTTATAAATATTAGTGAATACAGTGTGTTTATATTTTACATAATAATATGTTGATTTCTTGTGGAAGAGCAGATGAGAAGTGCATTCTTCTGTTTAGTCCACAAATTCATGATATGCAACAAGAAAATTGTGACAACTGGCAGTAATAAGATTTATATTGATGTCACTTGCCAAAAATGTTCTTGGTTTATTATTCCTCTGATATCAACTTTTTGGCATAAATATTTCTAAACATAATTCTAGCCATAAGTATTGTTCTTGTTGTACAGTCTAGAATTATCCTTTTACTGCCTGTTCCATATCTACCATCTTACCATTTCTACGATAAATATACTGTTTTTTTTTTTTTTTTTTATTTTTGTTGGCAGTATCGGACATGGACAACAGCCTGGAGGAAACAGTTCAGTCCTATTAAAACCAAGTTAATTTCAAAAGGGTTTAATACTGAGATAATAGAAGTTGAAAGTGAATTCTGCCCAAAGCCCCCAAGTGAAGAATGGTAAGTAACTTGAGATGGGTTCATATCTACAAATCATTTTCCCTCTTTATGTGAAATGCTGAAAGTGATTATTCTCAACCTCACAGATCTCATGTCTTTATTAAGCATTAGAGTTTGAACCTAGCCACTTTTAACCTAATTTATCTATGAAAGTGGCAAAGAAACCAAAACCTTGATGATTTAGATAAATTGTAAGAAATAGATATTTTCCTTAGACTTTAAACAAGCAAAATTATACTCAAGCAAATATAGTTGCTTAAATCTTGTTCTAAAAATGTATTTGACCAGTAGTTTAAATCATGTCTGAATTTACACGTGCTCACAGCAAAAATATTAACTGGTGTCTAAGACCCTTTTGAATTGCTGCTTTCATTTGGACATTTTTCTATCGAAAGTGGACACTTAAATTGTTCAAGTTTCTAACTCACTCAGATTTGAAACTATATTTTGTGACCACCACAACCGTAAGAGCTGTTGTAATAAGGCTACTCATCCAAATAGATCATCAAATCAGGAGTTTAGATCCTTAAGGCACCTTTACTTTTAGCTGACTATTTACCCAAAACAATTATGGCAGGTTGAAATTAAAGAGTAAACATTAATAAAGATATTCAAGTTGCAGAATAGCTGAGATTGAAAAAGGGGTAGTCAGGAGATTTGTTTCATTGTTAGCAAATGTTTACCATTAACAGTGATGTTCAGTTGTCTAAAACAGTACAATCTATGAAATATTAATTACCTTTTCAAGGAATTTGAGCCACATGTTTGTGCACACACACACACACACACACAGTAAAGGATAGAATTCTATTAAGGGGATCAATTTTTACATTTCAAATTTTCCTTAATTCTGTATTCACTTTTTGTAAATTCTGTTTTTATTGTACTTCATGTGGATATTGTAATAAAATATGTTACTATTATTATCATTATTATTAAAACCATGAAACAAAAGCAAAATTCAAAGTTTGATATCATATAAAGAAGTAGCAGATATCTTCATTAGAAATTAAAACATTTGGAAATAAATTCAAATTGAAACATGACATGTAAAAATTAAAAAGCCTAACATGAGTCAATCATAAAAAAATGAAATGTTGCAGTGCATAATTTTTAGGTAGAATTTTAATGAGAAATTCCTTTAAGAACAAATAGTTGCCTAAAAATAAATTAAGGAGTTTTGAAAGTGATATCAAAAAAAAATTTTTTTTAATTTCCTAGTTCAAACAGAAGACAGTCAGCTTAGGGATCAAATACTATTTTTATTACATGAGTTTTATATTTTCCATTATGTTGTACACAACATATGCAAATGATAACATTAAATGGGTGCAATTCTTATTAATAAAATTTAGACTGAGGTATCAACTATGGTTGGATACATGGTGTAGTTGACTCCAGAATCCTGTCTACTGCCAGGCCATGGCTCTTTTCTTGCTGAAAGAATTGTTCATAAAATTGCATGTATGATGAGTGATATTTGGCTGCATTAAACCATGAATTTCATTTGGTTTTTCACCAGCACAGTGGGCATCTTCACTCGTTGCTTAGGCAACAAGCCTTCAAGCTATTTCAAGTATCACTGTTTTCTGCTAGGCTTTTTGAAATGGCTGACTTGATGAAAGCAGTAAACTGAGCATTACCAAATGCTGATCAATGTAAGAATACTTCATCAATAAGATTTAAAATGTATACTACTAAACATAACACATGGCAACTGTTAGTCAACACATTTGATGACACTACCCACCTTATGAGCCTTTATACAATAGGCTGATAAATCTGATATAAATGTAATGATATACTAAAAAGTAATATCAACATGAGTTACACATCAGATGCAGATTTGACTTATAATTTGATGGTTGCATTCTGTCATGATTACAATATCAATAAGAAATGACTTCCAATGAATGCTTTGCAATCACATTCAAAATGCTATCAGGACAGTTGTTTCATCTGGCATAATACTGACAGGTTCATTGGCAAGCTTGGCTTTCAAGACAGTAACATAATAAGCAAACAATTTGGGCAGATGATGTTGCTTAACACACTTAATACTTGGAATAGCAGCACCTTCTTTCTTCAGCTTTAATATAAATGGTCTAATGATGCCAATTTTTTGTAGAAGGATGTCAAAGTGCAATTTAAAAAAAAAAAAAAAAAATCAAGGACAAAATCCTCCATTATCTTATTAGACCTCAGCAAAATTGTAACTGTCTTCTGTTTTAGTGTAGATGAATTTTTACAGACTTTTTTTTTTTTTTTTTTTTTTTTTTTTTTGCTAAATGGGCTTTTGATTTTACATATTCTTTGATTGAATGTCAATATTATAGTCATAATTTGCAATACAACTGATTCTTTTTGCATTAAAATCCACAAGGAATTGTTCTAAACTGGTTTTACCACTAATTTTAGATACTCTCCTTTAGATTCTCCTCCCCTCCCTCAACACACACACACACCTATTTTTTTTTCTTTTTTTTTTTATTTTTTTTTAAAGAGTAGCAAATCCAACTTTTTGTGGTGATCCACATTCATTCATCATGACAATGTGTTGCTTATTCATATCAGACACAGAAATGGTTTAGATGTAAAAATAAAAGAGAATGAAATCTCTTAAAATTAGAAAATGTACTCTATGTATATTTTGGGAAATAATTGACAATATATTATTAAAGGAATCTTTTTTTCTTTCTTCTTTAAAAATTTTACAATGGTTATGTACAGTAGTGTATAAGACACAAGGTAGCTTTGCAGTAGATCATAGTTTATTGCTAAAGTGGACATGGGAGGAAAGATGAATCGAGTAATGGATGTTGGCATAGAAATTGGTAGAGTTAGGCAAAAAATGAATACAATTCAAATTTAACAAATAAAATAAGGTTACATGATGTTTAGAATAAAGTAAGGTTACATGATGTTTAGAATAAAGTAAGGTTACATGATGTTTAGAATAAAGTAAGGTTACATGATGTTTAGAATAAAGTAAGGTTACATGATGTTTAGAATAAAGTAAGGTTACATGATGTTTAGAATAAAGTAAGGTTACATGATGTTTAGAATAAAGTAAGGTTACATGATGTTTAGAATAAAAGTAAGGTTACATGATGTTTAGAATAAAAGTAAGGTTACATGATGTTTAGAATAAAGTAAGGTTACATGATGTTTAGAATAAAGTAAGGTTACATGATGTTTAGAATAAAGTAAGGTTACATGATGTTTAGAATAAAGTAAGGTTACATGATGTTTAGAATGATTTAAATTTTGTGAAAGTCAAATGTAAACTAAGGAGTCCTTATGATCAAATGTTTGAAAGAAAAAGTTAATTTTTTTTTATGTGAGAAATGTATTATTTTTCAATTTCTACACCAACAACTATTACCTGATTTGTCTATTCTCTTGTGCCCATTTTAAAAAATAACTAAAAATAGGTCTGTATTGAGCTAGCCAAAATTTTTCTAGGAAAAATGAACGGACAATTATTTTACAAATATAATTAATGCAAAAACTTAATTTAATTATTTTTATAACTAAATTGTAGATGGCTATTAGATTAAAAAAAAAATTAATCTAAAAGAATATTAAATGATCAATTTGTTATTTATTATTGAAAACTTAGGTTCTGTTTCAGATTTGTGATTTTGTGATTCCATGGAAAATTGGTCCCATTATTCTACAGTTGTTTATAGAAAGTTCAAATTAAATAAAAGATATTGCAAGAAAAAATAATCAAGAAAATATTTAAAAATAAATACAGAAAGAGATTCAAAATTAATAAAAGAACTTGAATAAAATAGAGATAAGGTTGGAATTAAAATTTGCTCTTCATAAACATCCACTTGTTTCATTAAACTGGCCATTTTGGAATTGCTGCAGAAGATGATATTCAAGCAGATTAGCTAAAAGTAAAACTTAGTTTTAAAATTCCATGTATGCAAAACCATAAATTTTTCTTATATTTTATACAAAGTGATATAAAAAAAAATATGGTAAGGAATTGGTTAAGCTGGAATTAATATTTTTCTGATGTTTTTTTTTTTTTCTTCTTCTTCTTCTTTCTTTTTCAAACTGATTTTTTTTCATTGGGGGACCTGTTAAATTTTAAGTTTTAAAGTGAAAGTGAGCAAATAAGTTTTAAAATGAATGGGGCTTGGGTTACAATATATGTTTAATAACAGACTGGATCCTGACTGTCCAATATGACATTGGATGTTCAAATTTATAATAGAAATGTGCTGCTAAACTGAACCCTGACTTTGTGTCCACATTTATGCAAACTGGTTGATAATTTTTAAAATAGGGAAGCTAAGGTAGCATGCTTTAAAATTATGAACTAACAAAAATGAGGTATTATTTTTTTTTTTTAAAACACACAAAGTAAGGATCCAGTTTAGCATTAATCTTTAAATTATAAAATAAATCTTCATTAAAAACTTTAAAAAAAAAAAAAGTTAATTCCCCAAAGAAATTAAGATCAATTGAAACACAAACATACAAACAAAGTATACATTTTTCTACAAAGATTTACACTTTAATTAAATCTATACTAAATGAAAAATATGAAAATACTGCTGGCAAGTAGGTTTTCTGGAGTGGGGGTGGGCAGTCAATTTTAAATTTTAATTCAGTCTCACAAGTTCAACTGTAGCTGAAAATTAAAAATATATATGTATCATAGAACATTTTATTGATTCTGACAGTTTTCTCACAGTTTCAATACCAATTTATCATGTGTCAATTATGATGACTTAAGAAGATTTTAGATGCAAGTTGTATAGTTAAATAATCTTTCATTCTTATCTATTTATTCATAGCATTAGCCATTTTCTAATATGACAAGTTATTTTTCTAAACCAATGAAATTCAAAATATTTAATTTATCAAAGTCCAATCTTTCAAATCTGTTGTGCTACGAGGTCTTCAAGTTATTTTCTAAGATTAGATTAGTTAGAAAACCCTCAGTATCTGTCTGTATTTCTGAAATCCTTCAGCAAGCG